GTTTGGTAAACTCTCTAAAGAGAAAGAACAAGAGTAATTTGTCTGCAAGGGAACGATGGAAGAAATCTGGACTTGCGCTTAGAAATATATCGCTGAAAACTTGGATTTAGACAAGAGGAGAGGACTAAGAACAGCTTTGAGCGTGTAAAAACAAGAAAATGGCGTGAAAAGAAATCTGAAAATATTCAGTTGGTTAAAGAGAAATATATCTGCAAGGGTCTGAAAGTTTTAAAGATGAATCTGTTATGCCAAGGTCAAAGTCATTTCTGAAGATATTTTGGATTGGAAAGGAAATGGCAGTAACAGAGTAAGTCAAGGTGGGTTGAAAAGTTCAAAAAGTTTTGATGCATCATCAAGTGATGCTTGGCCTGAGAGTTAACTGACACTTGTAAGTCGACTTCTGATTGTCGGCTGATAACACTTAACAAATCAGAGTTCAGATAATAATATTTGGACCAATCAAAAGTGTCGAGGCACACAGACACAAAATCCAACTAATTGTAAGTGTCAGAAAGGAGCAAAGGCTAAAAAAGCACATGAATGCAAGCATAAATCAAAATCACATAGACATTTGAAACAGCAAAAGTCAAATAAAGAGTCTACAAAGAATGACTGTTTAAAATCAGACCAATCGAAGAAGAAAACAGGGCTAGACAAAGAGAAATGGATCGGAATTCTTGATAATGAAATACCATCATCATCAGATGGAGAGGAAGAATTTGAATATGTTTTAGGTAAGGTACATAGGGTTTAAAACAAACTACATTGTATAAGGTTGGTAAAAAAAATCCAGCTCAAAATGTGGTCAATACTGGTTAATAGTTCTATTTTAGTCTTAAATTACTGCCAATCCATTTTGGATTTGCCAGCTTTTTATATTGTACTTTATGTAAATTAATATCATATTAAGACTTTTCCAGTATGTCATGTATGTAGAAAGTTAACATAAACAAAAAAGTGTATTATTAGTAACAGTTACTTTGCAGAATTTTTAAGATATAAATATGCAGACATCAAGCTTACCTCAATAGGATGAGCATCGAATTTGTAATCTCAGTGAATCAGATTAATCCCCAATTTTGTTGTGTCGCCTCTACGGAGTAGTGGCGACATATAGAGATCACTTCTCCGTCGTCTGTCCGTCCGTCTGCCTGTCTGTCTGTCTGTCTGTCCGTCACAAAACTTGTCCGGACTACTCCTCATAAACTACTGGTGCAATTTCATCCAAACTTTACAGGAATGATCAGTACCAAGTCTAGTTGTGCATATTGTCAGCATTTTCCGGTTCAATGATTTTTGTCAGAGTTATGGCCCTTTAATAATTTTTATTTTTAAAGTTTGTCCGGAGTACTTCTCTTATACCACTAATGCAATTTCAATGAAACTTTACAGAATTGATCTGTAGCTCAAGTCCTTGGGCATATTGCACGGGTTTTCCGGTTGAATGATTTTTGGCCGAGTTATTGCCCTTTGATAAAAAAGGTGTTTTTTTCTGTGTGTTGCCAGATACACAAATGCTTGTCCGGACTACTCCTCATAAACTACTGGTGCAATTTTATCCAAACTTTACAGGAATGATCAGTACCAATTCTATTTGTGCACTGTCCGTCGGTCTGTCTGTCTGTCACAAAACTTGTCCCAACATGAAATTGGCCATCATAAGGCGACACATGTGATCACTGATCACTCTTGTTTTAAAAGGAATTTGGAAATCTTGAACTTAATCAAGAGGTATCGAATTTAAAAACAGATATGTTATTTTTAGCTCGACTTTTTGAAGAATATGAGAGCTATTGTAGTCGCCCCGGCGTCCGCGTCTGCGCTGGTTAAAGTTTTTTGTAAAGTCAAATATCTCAATTGTTGCTTGAGATATTCAGTTGAAACTTACAGTACTTATTTATAGTAACAAGGTTCATCAGATTGACAAGTTGGATAACTCCGCCTACAATATTGACAGAATTATGCCCCTTTTTAACTTATAAATTTTGGTTAAATTTTTTTGTAAAGTCAAATATCTCAATTATTGCTTTCAAGAGATATTCAATTGAAATTTACAATACTTTTTTATAGTAACAATGTACATCAGTTTGCAAAATTGCATAACTCTGCCTGCAGAATAATTTGCCCCTTTGAAACTTAGAAATTTTGGTTAAAGGTTAAAGGTCTTCAAAGATATTTACTTGAAATTTTACACATGTACTTAGGGTCATAATTGGAGGGTCATAATTGTATGTCACTGACCAAATTCCATAACCTCTATCTTGCATTTAGGCTGATTCATCTCCCCTTTTCTACTTAGTCTCTTGGTTAATGTTTACATGCAAGTTTTACATATCTCAATAACTATTAAAGATATTTATTTAAAACTTCACATATGCATTCAGGGTCATAATTGTAGGTCACTGACCAAGATCCATAATTCTATCTTGCATTTAGGCTGATTTTCTCCCCTTTTTCAACTTAGAAATTCATGGTAAAGTTTTGCTTGTAAGCTGTTATCTCCATAAATACTGAAGGGTTTGTGCCTTTTTTGGGACAATTTTATGCATTCATAATAATACAGCAGTGATTTACTTGATAAAACATCTTAATAACAAGCCTTTGTACCTTTTCAGTCAATTTTATGTATTATTAGGTAATTAGCATTATTATACTCAATAAAACACCCTTGTGACACCCTTTTTGAATAGTCGAGCCAATACTGTCCTCCGACAGTTCTTGTTTATGTTATACTTCCACAAGTAACAGAGAATACTAAATAAATCTTCATGTTAAGAATGTTTGTTTGCAACCCTATATGATTTCATAAATGAAAAATATGGTGATTTTTTAGCAAAAATATCATATCTTTAAATTAATTAAATGCATATCTTCTATTGTACAAACAAATTATTTACTTTACGAACTTGTATGAGTAAAGTCTCAGCAAGTTAAAAATGAATTAAAAAAAGCGAGTTATAAAAAAACTGCTGAGAAAGTAAATGAAGTGATTTGTAAAATATCTATATCCCTTCATGAAGAAAACCATCTGACATGAGTATGTTTTGGCCATTTGAATTAGTTAGCAGCAATTTCTAAAGAAGTGAACATTTATTCCTTTCCAAGGTATAATGTGCCTTCACCTGCTGAGGCCTTGAATGACCTGTTAAATTGTACTTGAATATTTTTTTTTCTAGATCCAGAGTATGGTGAAATAGTAAGAAGAGCCAAATCAAGGAAACCACGGTCTTCTAGTGGTCAAAGTAATTCCAAGAACACAGATACAGGTATTTGGTATTTTTATTAATGAAAAAAAAATTGATGGTCAAAGCAGGTTAATTAACATTAATTAAATGGCGGCTTTACCGAGTGGTTAACACTTTAGACTAGTAATCTAAGGACTGCGGTTGCCTTTGGTTCAAACCCTGCCGGTGTCAAGTCGTTGTTTGTCGTTTCCTTAAGCAAGAAACTTTTAAATCCATTGCTTAGTAATGGTTGGTTCCAGGAATATATGCGAGAGTGTTTTAATAAGCTTATTACATTCAAACTAAAAAAGATTACTCATTAGTATAAACTATAAACTAATTTAATTAACACAGGTACAGTCTTCAAAAATATATAATTATTAAAAATTCTGATAGTCCCAGGACCACAGGTACCTGTATTGAATATTTAAAGTAAAAAAAAAATATTTTAGAACCTGGTGATTAAAGCAATTCCCAGAACATAAATAACGGTATTAGATATATTTACATGCCAGAAAACTGAAAAATTTCAGCATATAATCATGTTATGCACCTGGTCGTTAGTCTGTCCAGCCGTCTGTTAGCAGGTTTTTTGTGCCTGGTCTGTATCTTTTGATCTGCCAGATGGAAGAAAATTTGAAACTATTTGGCAGAAATGTTAACCATAATGGAGACAATATGCAGAGCACAGGTTTGTGTTTTTTTGGATCAAGGTCATAGTCCTAATGTATTAATTTCAAAGTTTTGTATATTTTAAACTGATGGAAGGAAATTAAAACTATTTGGAAGAAATCTGAATATTACTTAGACGATGTGGAGAGCAGTTTTGGACTGCCACAGATCAAGGTCACACTGACCCATTCAAACTCCTTAATATATAAGTTTATATATTACAAAGGGAGATAACAATGTATGTCTATCTATATATTACTATTAGTATGTTACCTCCCTTTATTCATTAATATCTATTACTGCAACATGTTTTTTTGTTGTTTTTTTTATCAAACTATATATTTTTAGTGTTTTCTGTTAAGAGTATTATTATTGAGGCTCGCATAATATAATTTTATTCAACTCGTGCAATAAATTCAGTATTGAACTTGCCCTCATTCAATATCCTCTATTCAATGTATTAACTCATCAAATTTATTTTGACGCATTATTTAGGTTCAAGAGGTAGTCAAGAAATAAGAGAATCGACATACGAGGCCTTGTTAACTCTACATCATGCTATCCCATACCTTCCCGAGAGTTTTAGAAACAGGCTCCAAAGTACGTCTGCTGACCAGGGGCAGACAAGTTATGATACCACTAATTCCAATAGTTCAGGGGAGGTCACTCTAAACAATACAGGGGAGGTCACTCTTAACAATTCAAAGGTGAAAGCATCAAGGGAAAAAAATACTGAATTAGGTTATTCAATAACTGGAGACAAACATTTACAGTCATCTAAAAATAGTTTGGTAGAAAAACGAAAACAAACCCAAAGAGATGAAAAGAACCTTAAGAAATTTAATAAAGACAAAAGTAATTGGAAAAGAAGGCTTGAGGAAAGTGATCAAAGTGGTATTGATAAAAGATATGAGTCGTATGATATGGTAGAAGATTTTGAGAATACCTTGGAGGACCCGTTTAATGTGAAATCCGATTCAAAAATAGATCTATGTTCTGGCTTGATGGATTTAGTAAGAGAGATCGACATTCCATTTATAGATGAAGACGGTGAAACTAAATTTGATAACATTGGAAAGGAGAGGAGCGCTAGACAAAGGGATGTTACAGACAAATATAGTGGTGTTATGCCTGATATATGTGATACAAGTGGATTTAGCCCTGACGTAAGAATACCTCTGAATTGCCATGTAGGGACCAGTGCCAGTGATAATTCAGAAAGACTTAGTAGAAACTGTATTGGAATGCTGAACTGTAGTTCAGGAACAAGGGAAGCCAGGACCAATCTGGTTGAAAATAAAGATTTTTACGGGAATATAGTTGGTTCCCCAGAGACAAGTTTTGAAGATGACCCAGATTACCCGGGCATGAGGACACTAAATGACAGTTTTAACCGTCTCCTTGGCGATGATGATACTGACACAAGTGTAAGCTATAAAATCCTTTATTTTACTCCATCTCCCTGAAATTTTCAAATAAAGCATACTGTAAAAGCTGATATTTCGCTCGCAAAATTTAAAATTTCAGACATTTCACGTGAGGAAATATTAGTGAATCATGCAATTTCCAAAGGGTAGAATTTAATGACAGATTGATTGATATTTATGCTAGAGGAAATTTTAGCAATTTTTGTCAAATTGCGAAAAATACACCAATATTTCTGCATCATTAACTTAACCAATTATACAATAAATAGTGGCTCCATTCTTCCTAACTACACTGCATTATACTTACTTATATTAAGTTATAATTTCTCTTAACTCCATTAATCCATGTACATGAATTATTATCAGTGCATGAATTATAGCTGTTAAGGGGACATCTGTGGCCGAGTGGTTAAAGTCATTGACTTATTTTCTATAAAGTTTAAGTCAAATTTTACAATAAGAAATGAATGCATATATTTTTAATTATTACGTATAATATGCACACATATTTGCGGACATATTTTACATATTCTTCGATGTTTAAAAATTGTTTTATTTGCATAATTATGTTTTGCATAATAATATATAATTTCACTGAGTGTGGTAAACCACTTTGATCACAACATACAGGATCTTTAATTAAAATTTTCTTTTATTTTCTCTTTAGACTGACAGTTCTGTACTGCCAAATTTCATGCAAAGGTCATCTAGGTCAGATGAATCTGGGTCAAGGTCAAAGTCATCAGATGATAGCATAGAGGCAGATGATGAGTTTGAGTGTGAATGTGAACATTGTCAGTTGCTACGGCAACACAGTTATGGCACCAGTAACCTTGACCTTTTGCCACCAAGGTTATACACAGAGGATATGGGATTTCCATATGACCTAGAAAGTTCAGCTTCAGGTCAAACTGATACGGAGTCTAGTACAGGTTTCAGGTATGTTTAGTGTTTAGTTTTTATCAGTCCAAGAGAGAAGGAATCATGGGAGGGAGATGAGGGTGATGGGAGATGTAGTTGTTGGGTACAAAGATATTAGTTAAGGCATCTTGGAAGGGAAAATTTGGAAGCAAAAAGGTACATCGTTTTAAAATAAGTTGGGAACAAATATGGATTTGTAAGTTGGAATATTGGTTTTAGATATTTGAATATAGATGTACTAGTATCCAATATTAATTTTCAAGAAGTTTTGCTGAATCAAACTTGTCTGCTTTCTCTTACATCATGTCCAAAAATGTTAGTGTTTAATTACTGTTCAATAGAATTAGAATATCCAATGTCTAAAGTTTAAAATAATTAATTGTTGAAAGTTGACTACAGTGATTTTATTTTGCTTATTGAATGAATATCAACATTTATATATGTGGCCAACAAAATTTGACTTTGACTTATATTTTTTAACTTGTCAGTATGATATTTAAATATAGTGAATTTTAGGGATGGTAACAAATACCAAAACTAATACTCGAGTACTCTGTCATTTTTCCGATTGAGTACTTGGTTACTCGGATGATTTCCAATGATCTTCAAAGTTTTATCACACAATATCAACACCGTCTGCATCCTACTTTCGATTTCTATTTAAATTCATAGAATTCGTAACTATAAATAGGACTGAAAGGGAGGTCACTTGGAATAACCAATAAACAAATTAATTAAAATTAAATTAACAACAATATATTCTACAATGTTTCAGTTCATGCACAATTTAAGGTAATTTAATATCATAAGAGGTTGAGTGATGTAAGTGACATAGGTGTCTAATCCCATGCGCGTGTCAAACTGTTCATTGCCTGATTAATTTATAAATTATCATTTTGTACTTTGCAAGGATCTTTATTTTCACAGGAGGACTTTTGTTTGCCCTGTCATTTTTAAGGGAGGGTTTTTGTCCTTCACTCCATTCTAACAGATGTATACCCATTACCCCTGATATTGTTTCAGTCGTAAACATTTATATACATGATTTATGTATATATTTTTCAGATCAGCCATGTTTCTAGAGGACTACGACTTTCTGCTGGACAGATCTAATAATGAGCTTGACTGGTTAATTGTTGATAGTCGACCATTGTCATTGATGTTAGAGGTAAGCATCGATCTAGGTTCAAGGTTAAGGTCACTGTTACTTAAAATAGAAATGTTTGTCACTTTTTAGAGCCTATACATGTAACTCTTGCATGGATTATGACAGAGTTATATAGTCCTTTGTGTAGTAACTGTCAATGTTTTGCATGCAACATCAATCTTCAAAACTAGGGAAAGCGTTCACATTTTTTCAGGATCATGGCTTTAGGCTATGGTTAAAATTTTGAAACTCTGGCATAGATTTATACTAAATTATGGCCTGTTTTTACTTGAATTTAACTTGTCTTGTACTGCTTAAGTTTTAAAGCTGGTTGGGGCGTGACCTGTAAGCTGTCCAGGTAATAGAGGGTTGAAATAGATTTTTCCTTTTGCAATAAGTAGCTCCTTAAAGGACCTATGCTGAGGAAACCTAAAATTAGAAATTTTACGTACATGTAGATCAACTGGGACACATAAATGACACAAAGTGACTTAAATGGAAAGATATTTAAAGCTGCATTTTATAAATATGTTAAAATATTTCTACATAGGCCAAAAAGTAAACATCTTACACAATATACTGTTACATTATCATATTTAATCATCAGGACGTGATACAGCAGATGTTGGCAGTACAACCCGAGTTATTGAGTGAACAGGCCGCGCCACCGGCCCCACAGATTGTGATAGAAAACCTACCCACAATTCCTCTTACTTTATCCCATATTGGTAAGTGGTTAATACATGATTGTATGAGTGCACATATTATCAATATAAAGATTTTCAAGATTTTTATAGATATAGATAGCCCTCTGGCACTTAAACATTTACAACATATACATTGTATATACAAAGAGGGATACAGACATGTATACATACAAAATTAACAATATTTCAGTATTCATTGAAAAATATCTAAGTTACTATGTCTTTTATCTAATGCATAGAACAGGTAATATCAGTATATACTTGCAGTTTTTGGCTGACAAATTGCTTTAAAGGAATCTTTGGCTCAGAAGGGTATGGAGTTTAATTTTATTTGATGGCATGAAAATGGCTGTAGTGTCTTATGGTGGGTTTGAATCCCATATAGAGCAAGATTATTGTCCAAAACATTGTCTTACAAATTATGTGGGGCGTCTGTGGTTAAGGTTGTTTACTTTAAATCTCTAGCTCCTCACGGCTATGCCTTTGAGCCCTGTCAGGGACTTCTTAGATTCTTTCATATGAGGAAGCTATTCAGCTAGCTTACAGAATATCAGTGGTTCTACTCAGGTGCCTGTTTATGTCTGAAGTAATGCCTGGAGGGAAGCCTTAGGCCTTCCTTCACCAATAAAGTTTGGAAGTTACCATATGACCTTTAGTTAGTGTTAGCGCAACATAACCCCCCCCCCCCCCCCCCCCCCCCCCCCCCCCCCCCCCCCCCCCCCCCCCCCCAAAAAAAAAATAAAAATAAAAAATATAAATTGAGGATTCCATAACCCCTCCTCACTTCTTGGTAAACATAATTGACCATGGGTAAACAGGTAAAAAGCGAAATTGAGGCGACTAGCTATCATGACTGGCATAAAAGGGGGATAAAAGTGGGGATTATGTAAGCCCCAACTGTCCCTGTTATACTGAGATGATCAGCAACCCAAATCTTTAAGATAATAGTAAACCCATAATACCTATTAATGAGTAACTGTAAGGGCATGTGTTTCTATGTATTCTTAGTTAACCTTTTCAGTGTTTTTCATTAAAACATGTAAAAATCAAAAGCCAATGTTAAATATTTCATGTACTTGATTTATTCATTTTTCAGATCAACATCCATCATGTCCGATATGTCTTTGTCTATGTGAAGTAGAGGAACTGATGGACACTGTTAACCATGCCCAACATATATTCCATCCTATATGTATACAGGCTTGGCTTATCAAGGTATTTGTTGTAATTCATTTTCATAAATAATTTAATTTGAAGGATATTTTTTTCTTTGCTCTGAATGGTTTATTGGAGAATATAGATGGCGGTTTTGATGTTTTTGAAGTTTCAATGATCGCATATACCGTATTGTTTCCAATTAACGCCCTCCACCCCTCCCCCCCCCCCCCCCCCTCTATTTAGCGCCCCCAGCACTTTTTGTTTGAAAAAACTCGTACTTTACAGATTTATAATCCATAATAAAAGAGCAGTCCAAAAAATTTCAAAATATTTCTTTTTAAAAATAACAAGTAATTAGACTCCAGTAAGGTAAAATGATTAAAAAAATAAAATAATCCTGTATTATATATTAGATAATGATATTTATAAATGAATTATATCTTTAATAAACATAATTTAAAGCACGTTGTTTTTATAGAGACTAGTGTCTTTTTTCTCTCACGGCTGATATAGAAATTATATGGGATTAGTATTCAGTCCCATATGGAGATATTAGTTGTTACTGAAAAGCCGATAAGGTGGATTTACCTTCGAGGTACTACCAAAACATAAGCTTGAATTGTTTGAAAAAAAGATACTGGAAAAAACAAAACTGTACTATGTAAATAAAGTTTTTTTAAGCTCGACTTTTGGCAGAATACTTGAGCTAATGCAGTCACCCATTTGCATACATGTGAAACTCTTCCACTTTAAGCGGGAGACTCCCTCTTTTTGCAGGCATATTTTCAAAGATTTTTCTTAAAATAAGGGGTATATTCACAAATTAAAGAAATCTCCCTCTTTTTAATGTCAGAACTTCCTTCTTTGTTCAATGCAAATTCTAAAATCTCCCTCTTTTTGAAGAAAAATATCCCTCTTGATCATGAAAAAATTTCAAATATGCATTTGTCAGTGTTCTGTGTGGGCGTCTCTGAGGTTAAGTTTTTACGTGTAAGCTAGTTTCTCAATCACAACTGAGGAGAATAGATTGAAACTTCATAAGTTTGTTTTCTGTGATTATCTAACATTATTGGCACAAGTCCTTTAACTCTGATTTTCTTTTTGCACATTTAGCCCCTTAAAATTAATACATTTGGTGGTTGTCTTGGTTGTTTTCACAACGGATCATGGCAGTTAGCCGCATTGAATTCACCAGAGCGCAGTTTAGCCACTTTGCATCGTTTCATAGGCAGGCTGTTCAAGCAGTATACCAGTACTAATTGCCTTCACTTTTGCAAGAAACTAAACTTAAGTATATGCCAGAAGCAGAAGTACAGTGAAGATTTCTGATCAATCCAAAATGAAAGAGACTTGCACCATCTGGAAATCAAACCCAGGTGACCCAATTCGGACAGTCCAAAAGCTTTACCTTTTACTTGAGCCTAACCAGACAGATTCTAATACCATTATTAAGAAAATATAGGCATGTGTAAGTTTTTTATGCTGTTTAAGATAAAACAAATAGTTATACTTCAGTCTTGTGTTAGAACTTTTGGTTATTTTTCTTTTATTTATTTTCAGTCAGGGACTTGCCCTGTGTGTAGAGCCAAACTTAACAAATATTTCTACAACATGAAGTTCTACCATGGTGGAGACTTTTTTTTTCAAGTGACTTACGTTTCAGTGTTATAAATTAAGCAGGTCATTTGGAACTACCAAGTGTCATTCCTCAGAGAAACAACGTAACATGACAGTCTGCGTATGTGCAAAACACGGTGTAATATTAAAACATGTAAACATTTTCTAGAACTGGTTAAAGGTAAAATGTAAAGATGGACCATTGATAAAGTGATAAGTTTCTCATCTCTTACAACAATATTACAGGATGTACAATTGTTATTTGAGCCGTGTCACGACCAAAACCAACATAATGGGTTTGGCGACCAGCATGGATCCAGGACCAGCCTGATCAGGAGTCATGCTGGTTCGCTTATGAAACCCTATAACAAGTAGAGAAGTGATAACGAAACAGCATGGATCCTGCATCAGGACTGCGCATATGCAAACCCATTATGTTGGTTTTGTTCATGACACGGGCTCATTTCATTTATAAAGTATGTTTTACAGGAGTGTGGAAGATGCCAACTTGTTCATTTTTCTAAAAATCTAAAGAAAATTTATTAAATGATTTTTCACAACATAGTCATGAAAAATGTTACCGGTGTGTACCCGATAGTAAAATGTTTGTTTTCCTTCATCAGAAAAGCTGAGTTTTTTATTTTGAACTTTAAAGTAGTCTTTACTGTAATCTTCCGCCAAAAAAAATATAACATCATCCAATAAAGAAGCAAAATCGGATATTTCCAGATTATTTTTTTTCAAAATCTTGGGTATTATTTTATAATCACTTAATCCTTTATTGCTATTAACTGACTTCCAGTTATAAATCGGTTAAAATTATTGAATACCAGTGATTGTGAAAATTAACGCTTCCGGAAATTACCAATTTATTAACGATAGGTTGGCTGATGTTTAGAAATTTTTTGGCAGAAAAGCATTACAGTAAACTTATACCTTCATCAATGCCATCTTAAGGTGTCTATTTAAGACAGTTTATAAAGTTGTTGCTTCAGCAGAAATTAAATGTAGTTGGCATGACTTTGAGACGCGCCATGACAAAAACCAAACATAGTGTGTTTGCGAACAGCATTGATCCAGGTCAAAGTCTGCGCCATCCGCGCAGTCTGAGTCAGGATCCATTCTGTTCGCGGTTGCAAACCCTATAACAAGTAGAGAAACTGAAATCGAACAGCATGATCCTGATCAGAACTGCGCGGATGCGCAGGCTGGTCCTGGATCCAATGCTGGTCGCAAACCCATTATGTTGGTTTTGTCATGACACGGTTCGCTTAATTCAAACACCCCCTCCTTACCCTCCGAAACCCCTTTTCCCCACACCCTTTAACAACATACCCCCATCCTGTAAAACATGTGCTCAACATGGACATTTGTGTGTAGTACTTTTGTTGTTATGTCTGTTGATAAAAAATGTTTTTTAATAATTAATTTTTTGTTATATAATATTTGTATAGTAACCAAACACATGTTTTGTAAGGTAATGACCGATGCTGAGAAACTAGACATGGTAATGATATATGTCAGAAAAATACAAGAAAAAACTGGCATACTGCAAATCAGGTTTTAATTCTTTATAAATTAAAAACACATAGAAAGTTGGATACATGTATTAGACATTAATGTGAATATATTTAAAGGCATACTTTAGCATATTGTCACCTTTGGCAATAACTGATTAAACTACTTAATAAATTTAGAAAGGACTTTTTACGTTATTGCACTAAGGTGATGGATCAATTTGTTTATTAAAGGTTCCATCACATACAGTAAACTTTACTATGAACAAATTTTGGTACGCCCTTACAGTTAAAATTCAGTAGTTACGCCCTGAGTGGCGGCATGGCCAAGTGTCTTATAATGTTCAGACTGGAAATCTAAGGATTACTGCCGTGTCATTTCCTTAAAAACGGGATAAGTAAACCTTTTTAGATGAAAGTATTATTTGGAGTACAGTATCTGGAGTTTACCAGAATATAATTATAATGATTTTTTTTTGGTTCTAAATCAACTTTTTTTTAAATTTTGTTGATTATTTAATTTTTTTTTTTTTCAATAAAATTTTTTTAAAAAAAATTCCACCTTTTTTTTTCCTTTAATGTTATATTTTCCATGTGGTATTCCATATGCTCGCATTGGTGATTCCCATATGCTCTCATGTGGTGATTTCCATATGCTCGCATGTGGTGATTCCATATGCTCGCATTGGTGATTCCATATGCTCCATGTGTGATTCCATATGCTTCCCATGGTGATTCCATATGCTCACATGAGTAATTCCATATCTCGTATGTGCGTGATTCATATGCTCGCATGTGGTGATTCCATATGCTCGCATGTGGTGGATTTCCATATGCTCGCATGGTGATTCCATATGCTCGCATGTGGTGATTCCAATCTCACCATGTGGTAATTCCATATCTCGCATGTGGTGGATTCTATATGTCGCATGGTGGTGATTCCATGATGCTCGCATGTGTGATTTCCATATGCTTGCATGTGTGTAATTCCATATGCTCCATATGTTACGGTAATCCATATGCTGCATGTGGTATGTCCAATGCTCGCCATGTGGTAATTCCCATATGCTCGCATGTGGTAATTCCATATGCTTGCATGTGTTAATTCCAATTGCTCGCATGTGGTTTAATTCCATTATGCTCGCATGTGGTAATATCCATATGCTCGCATGTGGTGATTCCATATGCTCGCATGTGCGTGATTCATATGCTCGCATTGTGCGTTAATTCTTGCATGTGGTAATTTCCATATGCTCATATGTGGTTAATTCCATATGCTTCCATATGTAGGTAATTCATATGCTTGCATGTGGTGACTTCTATATGCTCGCATGTTCGTTATCCATTATGCTCACATGGATGTAATTCCATATGCTCACATGTTGAATTCCATATGCTCCACATGTGAGTAATTCCAATGCTCGCATGTTGGTGATTCCATATGCTTGCATGTGGTAATTCGCATATGCTTGCCATTGTGTTTAATTCCATATGCTTGCAGTGTGGTAATTCCATATGCTCATATGTGGTAATTCCATATGCTTGCATGTGGTGATTCCATTTGCTTGCATGTGGTTGATTCCCATATGCTCACATGTGTATATGGTTTTATATGTGGCTATACACCAAAAAGGCTTTACATTTATATTCAGAATGCAGCCTCTTGTTCTCAAAATATCAAACATGCAGCGTGTTTTCATAAACGAAGAAAACATGCTATTAAAAAACAACACGTAATATAATCTAAAAGGTGAAAGAAGTGTTTCAGAAAAAAGCTTAGTAGGTTTTGGGTTGATTTTTGCGATGGGACCAACTTGGTTGGACCAAAAAGGTCCCATTTTGCTATTCATATCTGAAATGAAGTATAATAACAAATGCAAAATTTGGTGAGAAAAAATACGGAACAACTCCTAATAATGAGTACTTATAGTGCTTGCTATACAAAATAAAAGATGTTCAAGTAGACATTCTAAGGACATTTTTGTTTTAACTAGTAATCAAATAAAAGGGAAATAAATACAGGTACTTTATTTTCTTTTGTCACATACCTGGAAAGCATGCAGGATACGTTATTTGACCTGGGTGGACAGAAGCTGTGAAACCTGTACGTTATTTGACCTTTGTAAACAGAGCTAGTGGTGACATGGTCAAAGGTGCTAGTAGCATTGATTGACCTAAAATATTGTTTAAACTTGTTATTTTAAGTAAATAAACAAGAACACCGAGACCGGAAACATATCCATAATTTTCCGTACTCGTCTTGTAAACAATATAACAGTAAAAAAATATTTTTATTTTTTTATTTTTTTAATATAATGGATATTTAATTGCATAAAATAACAAGGTTAACACATTTTAGGTGAAATAATGTCAATAGCAACCTTTAGACATGGTGAGAAAAATGGTAACCATTTAAACGGCACCTAATAACTGTGTTAAACGTCTTTTAACGACAGTTCTAAACACAAATCCGTAGCGTTCCAACACTTACTTTGTTTCTTTATGACAAAAATATGCCAGTTTTGTTCGTATTTGTTGTTCCCTAAGTGATTTCAATATTCAAATATAACTATCTTCCGCTAGGGTCCCGTAACATATTTTGATTCAGATCTGAAAAAATACATACGTTGCCAGTACAACTGTTACAAATACAAAACAATTGTATATCTTGTTATAAAAAAACTAAAGTAATAGGATAACTTTTTCATCCCCTCGGTTACCGGTATGAATTTCTAGCCGGAATTTTAAGCTAAAAAACCGACCAAACCCGTTGTAGAAGAGCCCTTAACCAGAGCACTGTTTGTTCTGGTGGCGTTTTATATCACACCAATCACAGTAGAGGTCATTTGGCGAAACTTTCCACTTTACTGGTTGGGAAAAGACCTCAGGCGGCGGCGCTTTCCGAAGTTTCCTGCTATATTTCAGGACGGCCGTAATAAAAGCTTGACCTCAGGGACAGGAAAGTGGCCCAGAGGAGAAGCCACCCCAATGTTCCGTTAGCTAGCTGAATCAAACTCCTCACATTGACAGGAAAACTAAACCCTGTCAGGATTTGAAACTAAAGTTGTGGGGCCCAATTAGTACGAAAACACAAAAGTTTGATAAGTGATACTTGAAACATTTAAAGAACTATAGAAAGAACTCTTGTAAATTCTGTTTGACATTGTTGATTGAAGCGTGAACGGTACTAAGCAAATTACTAACGACGAAAAATTAAGGTTAAACTATTAGAAAAAAAAAAAAACCAAACAAATAGAACAAATCTGTAATTGACATTGCCCTTTGATGATTGTTGAAAACTGAATTTTGAAAAATGCCACAGACAAAATTACATTATTTGAAAAATACAAATGTCGGGAAGAAAATGTTTAAAAGGGGTTGCAATATTAGGACCTTGAATTGATATGACCGTTGACATTGTTCTCTTAAAATGAAGCCGCATTCACGACAAAACCAACGTAATGCGTTTGCGACCAGCATGGATCCAGACCAGCCTGCCGCAATTCTCTGATCAGGATTTCCATGGCTGGCTCGCCC